GGCAGGAGCAGGAAAGAAGACAGAGGAGAGCTGAAGCAGATCTAGGAAAACAGGAAGGTTGTGTTGCATAAGAGGATCCCTGGTGACGCAGGGTTAAGTGGCTGCTAGCTGAAACGTTGGCCATTTGAAACTACCAACAGCTCCATGGGAGGAAGATGTAGCAGTCTGCGTCCATAATTTTACAGCCTTGGAAGCCCTAAGGGGCAGTTCTATTCTGTCCTATTAGGGTCACTATGAGTTGGAATAGACTTGATGGTAATTTTTTTTTTTTTTTTTAAATTGTGATTTGGGTGAAAGTTTACAGAGCAAATGGGTCTTTCATTCATACACATTTTGTTTTGTGACATTGATTGTAATCACCACAACGTAACAACACTCTTCCCACTTTCTCCCTGTGTTTACCATTTCTCTTCATCATTCTTTCCTATCCCTTCCTGTCTTCTCAGTAAGTATTGGTGGCTTTTAATCTCCTATGATTGATTGTTTTAATGAATATGCTTCACCACGCAGTAATTGTTCACCTTAAAGACTTGTGCATTGTTTGGCTGCAAGTTGAGCCACGGGGGTTGAGTTCAGTTCCCGGGTTGAAGTGTGTCTATGTTATGCCAATTGACCTTAGTGTTCCCTGAGACTATGGTCCTGAGCCCCCATGCCCAGTGACTCATTCCCTCAAGGTATTTGGTTATGGCTAAGAAGTTTTTCTAACTTTACCCCCTGTATGCTCTACTACATTCATGGATATATTAGCAGCACATATAAATACATATGTAGAAATATCCTCTATCAAACCTCTATATATATTCATGAGGATAGTCCCATTTACCTTCCCACCCCTGTTCAGTTTGAGTGTCTATGTATGTATGCACTTGGAGATTATTGCTATTACTGTAATTGCAGGAATGTATATAGTATTCACTTTTGTTGCCTTTAACTCTTTCTCTTCCCAGTGTCTTCCTTTGCCTTGATCATTTTGTGCTGACCTGCCCCTTACTGTATATTGCCTTACCCTTAACCCAACTATGCATGTACTCTCTAGTTAGTGATTTTCCCCCTCTTCCTCTCCCACCCCTGGTAACCTTCAGAGTGATTCTTTCTGTGTGGTTTTGTGTTATATAATAAATCATCTCTCTCTCTGTGACCTCTCAAGTCCTCCCCAAAGATGCTAATTTATATATAACCTTTCCAGTGTGCCAGCCACATGCTTTATAAACATAAAGCATTTATCTTTCACAACAATCTTGTGAGGTCAGTGCTATTATTATCCTTTTTTTATAGATGAGGAAACTAAGGGCCAGAGAGATTGAGTGTGTGTTCAGATGGCTCTGCTGGAAGCATTACTGGAGAGCTCTCTACAGGAGGGGAAGTTGCAGAAGGAGCTTGAAGGTGCAGGGGTGCAAGGGAATGGTCTTCTGTGAGAAAAATCTTGGAAGCACACAAATGCATACTCGGCTCTGTTGCCGAAGAAAATTCAGTGTGACTGTGATTTAATGTGCTCAAAGGAATGGCCCAGCTAAGGTGGCCAGCTGGGAAAGAAAGGCCTTAAGTGTCACCACCTAGGAGACAGGCACCATGCAGGAGTTGTGAAAGAGTGGTGAAAACAAACAAGCAAACAAATACATACTCTCTGCTCTCATGAAGTCTTGCACTTTAATAAGGAAAATAAATTTAGAACAATCATATGACTAATTATATAATTACAACTGTATAAATATCCTGAAAGAAAAGTCCAAGACGGTAATGGGTGGGCCTAATCCAGTCTGGGAGAAAATTACCTTAAGGAAATCACCATTTAAAATGAGACACATGGTAGGACTTGGACAGTGAAGGATAGGGATCAGAGGTGGAAGAGTAAAGGGATGCAAAATGGGGCAAGTAGTCCAAGGAACAGGAAGAACAGGTGCAAATGGCTTGAGACATTTAAGGAACTGGAGGAGGCTAGTGTGGCTGAGGAGAGAGGTGGGAAATGATGTTGTCAAGGTAATGGGAAAACTAAGGATTTGGGGCTTTCTGCTATGCTAAGGACACTGGTATCCAGTCTGCAGGAAAGGCACTGAAGGATTTTGTCAGAGAGGCAGGATGATCAGAACTGTATTCCAGAAGGATCCTCATGGCAGCCAGAGTACATGAGAGGTGGAGAGGCCGGAGATGAGGTAAAAGGCTTTTGTAATAGTGTGGGAAAGGAATGAGGAAGCCTTCAGTGATGCAGTGGGAATAGAGAAAAAGGACTGGATTCCCAAGGTATCTCTGAGAAATAATGATCTGGTGTGGGCTGTGAGGGTAAGAACATTTTTGCCTGGCTCTCTGGAGAAAGTCAGGACAAGAGTAACAGAATTGAAAGCCACTCACATGGAAGTGATATCAGTGTTGTGGGGCAGCTGAGATTCTGCAGAGAAAGAGAACGACAGAGAGACAGTGAGGGAGAGGGAGTGGGAAGGAGGGAGGGAGAGAGAGAGAGAGAGAGATAGTGAGAGAGAGGGAGAAAAAGAGTTTAGAGAGAAATGATGAGTAGAAGGATGGAACTCAGGGCTGGCAATTCACAGTGCAGAGGCCACAGGCATAACTTGTTTCATGGGGAGAGTTACTAACATTTAGAAGCCAGATATTTCACCTACAAATAAAAGTGGCTGTTTTCTTTTGAAAGACAGGAAGATTGGGCAACACAAGCCCATTCCTTAATGACAACAATAGCCTGGCACTGTATACTAACTGCACCCTTCAGGACAGGCATTATTAATTTTTTAGTTTACCACAGTCCCTCCAGTCTTATTTCATACAGTAAGTTGATATAGATGAAACATTCATTTTAAGGCTAGGGCAGAACCCAGCTTTCAGAGATCTCATGAGTGGGAGGGAGCTATTGGAAGTCTGAAAAAAAAGTAAATATGGACTCCTCTGTTCATAAGCTTGTGAGTACAGAAGAGGAAACAGTAGGCCCATGGAAACTACTGCTATGAGCCAGCCCCTGTGCACTCTACCAAGGTGACTTCCAGAGAATAAGGACATAGCACCTGCCTTCAGCCAGTTTACCAAGTGGTACAGAGGCCATCACAGTTGCATCACTACAGGACAAGACCACCTTGGAAAAGTACCATAGGAGAGGTGCAAACAAAGTGCTGGGGGTTTTAAAGAAGAGCAGCTTAAATCAGCTCCTCTATTCCACTGTAACAGCAAATTGAGAATATCTAGCAGTTAGGTAATTGTTGTTAGAGGTGGTTATTTTTAAAGCACATTCGAAATAAAATATTACTTTAACAAGCACAGGGGTCCTAGCATTTTTCAGAGCAGTAGCAGTAGTTTTGTTTATCTTATATGCTTCTCAATATTCCATCTTTCCCTGTTACAGGCTAATGTTTTGTAAATATCACTAGACATTTAGATAGGTTAGTTTATATAAGTTATGTGTGCTCTGCGGGTCTGCCCCAGAGAGACTACCACCTCACCTTTCCTTTTTACTTTAACTTTTTTGAAGTGACTCTTAGGTGGTGACATATAGTGATTTAATTTTTTAAGCATTTATCCTTTTTCTTTAGCAGAGCTTTTGGTTTTTACCCATTAAGGCTACAACTCAGGAGAGAGGTCAGAATTGAGATAAAGACTTGAGAGTCATCTGTATAGAACTTTTTGTTGAAAACTATGAGGGACAATGAGATGACCCGGAGCCAGAGAAGCAAAGAGAGAGTGAGAGGAGGGTCAAGAACAGAACTGTCAGTGCTGTCTACTACGGGGCCATGATTACTCTGGACAACCGTCTAATGTCAAACTTCTGTCAGAGAGCTCTTAGGAAGACAAGGGGTACGGTCACAACAGGATATGTGGGCTGGGATGGGAGTGGCTAACAATTAAGCTGAACAAACTACTGTAAGGTTTTGAGGACCACACTGTTTATAGAACCTCATTACCTAAACACTTCACTTATTTAAACCTTTCTTCCTGGCCTTTTCTAGGCAGCACAAGAGAGAAGTTTATGAGTTAGGAAAATGCTGGATAATTTTTGCAGAAAGTATAGGCTAGATTAGTTTTTCTATTATAGTAGCATAGGTCCTGACATCCCTGGTAGTGTAATCAGTTAATACCTGGTTGCAAAATGAAAGGTTGGAGGTTCAAATCTACACAGAGGCACCTTGGAAGAAATGCTTGAAAACTCGATGAAGCATAATTCTACTCTGACACACATGTGGCCACCATGGGTCTGAGTTGGCTTGATGGTCCCCCCTTTTTTTTAAACATACGTCCTATGTTACATTGTAAAAAAAAAAAACCCAAACCAAATGCACTGCTGTCGAGTTGCCTTTGACTCATAGCGACTCCTCCTTGGATTTCCGAGGCAGTATCACTATGGGAGTAGATTGCCCAATCTTCCTTCTGATGAGTGCCTTGTGGGTTTGAACTGTCAGCCTTATGGTTAGCAGTCAAATGCTTTTGGCACTAGGCTACCAGAGCTCCTATGTTACATTGTAACTACCTGATGATTTACATGTGCATTGACTGGAAGAAAAGCAGTAACTACTATGGGTAGATTTGTAACCCTTTTTTTCTATTTTGTTTTGTACCTTTATTTTTAAAGCAGAAAGTATAAAAAGACCAAATGAAATGAGATCCAAAGAGCCAATATTTTAGAGATGTTAAGGAAGATTTAAGGAGTCCTGGTGACACAGTGGTTAAATGTTCAGCTGCTAATCATGATGGTTCGAACCCCCCAGCTGCTCTGTGGGAGGGAGATGTGGCAGTCTGCTTCTATAATGATTATAATCTTGGAAACTGTATGAAAAAGACCTACTCTGTTCTATAGGGTCCCTGTGAGTCAACATTGACTCAATGGTAATCGGTCTGAAGGAAGCTTTCAGAAAAGTAAAGTCTTTAAGTAATGAGACTCTGAGGACAGTGTAGTCCTTAAAACCCTACAGCAGTTTGTTCAGATTTAACCATTTATAGAAATTCCAAGGCATCTGGCAGATGATTATGGTATGGTATATTGTTGCCCAAAGAACACAGTGACTTACCTGTTGCAGCGTCTTTGTTAGGAAATAACTTGCTGTCAACTGCCACACTGATGTCATAGAACACCTCATCCTCATCTCGGTCTGCATCAAACTGGGGGAAGTCAGAACAGACAAGTTTGGAATATGAGAATTTATAAATTAGTTTACTCCCAAGTACACTGAGCATGCATTACACAACTGGATCTCAAATGAAGCAGGACAAGAATGAAAGCATTTGAACCTGTACTCATACATTGGAGCATTTTTAAAGTCTCCATCTCATATCAGAGAAAGGTATTGAGGAATAAATATACACGGATGTATGTTAAGAAAATGCATAGTACAGTATTAATTTATAAATCAAGCTTTGGAAAAGATGATAACTGAAATTGACTTTATGACTTTCTAGCTCTTAGTTTCTCTAATATTTTTACATAAAAAATATAAAACTATGAAAATATATAGTTCTCACCAATATGGGGAAATATTTTCTAATTTATTGTTAAAAAAGGAAAGCAAGCCCTCTTAAGTGGCTTGTAAATAAAAATTACAGATTTACATATTTATTTACCATTCTCTAAAGTTCACAATATTTTAAATATTTTTAAACAGTATGTGGCTTATATTTATGAATCTCATCTTTTTTTACAAGTTGTTCAGTGGTTTAATACATTTTTCTCTTTACATTTTTTGAAATAGCTTTAAGTTATAGCTGAAATACAGTAAACTACACATATTAAAGGTGTCCAATTTGATACATTTTGACATATGTATACATCTGTGAAACCATTACTAAAATCAAAATAGTGAAAATATGTGTGATCCCCCACAGTTTCCTTATACCCCTTGGTAATTCTTTTCACCTGCCTCTCTCCCCAGGTAGCCACTGATCTGCTTTCTGTAACTACAGATCAGTTTACAATTTCTAGAATTTTGTACAAGTAGAATTTTACAGTATGCAACATTTTTGCCTTGTAATCTTTCACTCAGCACAATTACTTTGATATTCATCCATATTACTGCATCAACAGTCCGATGTTACTGCTTGTTATTGCTGAGTAGTGTTCCATTGTATAGGTATACTGTTAATCCTCTCCTGAGTATTTTCATTGAGACATTGTAGTTTTCATCTCTGGACTTTTTCATTGAGTCCTTTTTTTTTTTTTAAATTAAATCTCCCATGGTTCTGTTTAAGGTTTTGAATGTCTGGATTATAATTACAATAAATATTTTAATGTCCTTCTCTGCAAATTGTAACATTGGTGCCAGCTCTGAGATAGTTTTGATTGATTTTTTTTTCCCCCTCTTTATAGGGTGTGTTTTCTTGTTTCTTTGCATGCCTGGTTAATTTTTTATTGTCAAATTTTCCTTGTTGGGTGCTAGGTATTTTCGTATTCCTATCAATATTTGTCCTAGGATGCAGTTCAGTTACCTTGGAAATAGTTTGATCCCTTGGGTCTTACTTTTAAGATTTCTTAGGAACAGAGCAGAGCTTACTTCAGGCTAATTATTCCCCCAGTTTTTTCTACCTAATGCCTTGTGAATTATGAGAAATTCCAGTCTGTCAGAAAATAAGGAGAGGCATTTATCTGCTGGCTCCTCTTGGTCTCCCATCCTTTCTTTTACTTATGAGGCATCAAGTGCCCCCAACCCATCCCCTTGTTTCTTGGTTGTGCTGCTCAGCCATCCTGGGCAGCCACTGGGAAGCCAGATCCCATACTCCACGGCCTGGCATATCATTTCAATCTAGAAGTGTTGACAGCAGCTTGAGCTCCTATAGGTCTGGTCAGCTTAGATCTTGGTGCTGGCTCTGCGGTGGGCATGATAGAGGCTGTGCTGGGTATGTGAGCAATGCTGGAGATGCAGTGACACGCAGGGCTGTTGGTGACCAGGTTCTCCATTCAAAAAGCAACTGAGAGAACTGGGGAGGTGAATATGGGACTAAGTGGGTCTGGGGAGGCATTTTAATTGGGTTCAGATAGGTTAAAACTCAGATAAAGATTGACTTGAATCTACCCCCACTTTAGCAACTGACTGACTTTGAGCAGCTTGTTTCCTCTGTTCTGTAAAAGGGGGATTATAATACCCACCTGCCATAGGCTGGGTTTTGTAGAGAAGCAAAACCAGTGAAGCTTATATAAGAACAAAGAATTATATATGTGTGTGTATGTACACACACACACACACACACACACACATATATATAGGGAGAGAGAGAGAGAGACAGAGAGACAGAGGGAGGGAGAGAGAGGGAGGGAGGGAGAGATTTATCTCAAGGAAATGGCTTGTACAATTGTAGAGGCTGGCAAGTCCCAAGACTGTATGTCAGTTATCAAGCTGGGGGCTTCTCCTGACTCCGCAGCTGCAGGGGCTAACAAATCCAAGTTTGGCAGGTAAGATGACACGCTTCTAGCTCATAGACTGTGAAGGCAACAACCCCAAAATTGGCAGACAATAACTCAGTCTAATGGTTCAAGTTCAGATGATGATTAGCCAGATACGAGATCTAGAATGACCATAAAGCCAGAGAGCTTTGCCAGACCCTTTCCATACATATCAGTAGCAGGCCACACCTCAAAGGAAACTCCCTTTCACATGAGTGGCTGACCAGAGCAGATCTCATCACAGAGGTGATTATATTATATCAGATCTCATCATGGTAGATGACTACATCACAACTCCTAAACCACTTAGCATCATGGCCCAGCCAAGTCTTCACACACCCTTAACTATCACACCACCTTAATTAAGTGTTGTGTGATATATATCTAATCACCAGCAGAGAGCCTGATATAAAATGTAGTCCTTCTTCTTTTTCTTTCTGTGAGTCCCCAGGGCCGAAAAGAGTATGTCCTATAGATCTCTGCTTCTGTAGTGTGTATGCACATGCACACACAGACACTTTTATTTTTTTTTTGAACTTCAGAGTGTGGCATCAGGGATACAAAAGACATCAAGACACTGTAGGATGTATTATATCCTCCAACTGATATGAACAAGGACATTTTTAGTTCTAGCACAGACTAAAGTACCTGGTTGTCCAAGCCAAGGCAAAAGATAAAACACCACTCATGAAATCATTCTATAAATATCCAATAAATATTTGTGGAGTAACTCCTCTGTGCTAGGTGGACTTTTTAAATGACCACTTAAACTTTACAATGGATGAACATGGAGTCTGAGGCAGGAAGATGATATCCACAAACCAATTCAACTCTGGAATTATTCAGATTCTGAGGAAGCCAACTCACTTCCACATCAGGACCACAGAATTAAATCCAGATGTCCTCACTGTCTGCAGCATGCCTCTTCCGCAACTCCAGGAGTGGCATGGGACTCCTTTTTCCCATTCTTTCAGCAAACAACATGGTGTGGGAACCCCAGAGAGAATTCTGATTGAGTACTATCCGAAAAACTGCCACCTAATTGGCAAAGATTTTTAGAAAATGATAAGCTTAGTACTGGAGAGGACCTGTGCATGGTGAAGGGAGAACTGGCTCTTAAATCATCACATACATGTTATTTGTTTTGGCAATAACAAATACACCAGTATTTCTCAACCAGAGGTGATTCTTGCCCTGGGGAAATTTGGCAATGTGGGAAGATATTTTTGGTTGTCATAACTGGTGAGGGAAGGGAGTGGTCACTGGCCAGAGTGCTGCTAAATATGCTACAGTGCACAGGACAGCCACTCCCTTGCCCTTACCACCCCCCACGCCCAACAAAGAAAGATCTGGTCAAAAATGTCCGTAGTGACAATGTTGGGAAATTTGTTGTTGTTGTTATGTGCCGTCGAGTCAAACCTGACTCTTAGCGACCCCTCCTTGGGTTTCCGAGGCAGTATCACTATGGAAGTAGGATTGCCCAACCTTCCTTCCGAGGAGTGGCTGGTGGGTTTGAACCGCCAGCCATCTGGTTTGCAGTCAAGTGCTTTAGGCACTACTCTACCAGAGCTCCCTGTTGGGAAACTAATATATGTCAAATAGCCTTGGCTTTTGGTTTGAAAGTTAAGCAGAGATATTTTTTTTTTTTAAAGAAAAAAGTTTGGAGTTTCTAGAGTCTGGGCTAACTTCAAAATACAGCAGAAGTGAGATTGCTGCATGTGTAACAGTGTTAGAGTGATAATGGTTCCTTAGGAACAAAAGTCTATTTACATTTTATGGGTCAGAAAAAGCTTTGGGGGGATGTAATTATATGACACTAGACCACATAATACCTGCCTTTGATCCTTGGTCTGAAATTCTGTGATCAGGTGGGCACGTCATCCTTTAGATAGATGTTGTTCAATGTCTAGCTATTTAACAGAAATAATTTTCTTATTCTGAGGGAAAGAACTCACAGAGGACATGCTCTGCATTATCTGTTTTATGTTATTTAATATAAGAGGGCTGCGGAGGTCAATTGGAAATTTCAAATGAAATGCTTACCAAATTCCCTAGTTCACTCACAGCACGTTTTAATTTGAATAACAAATGTTGTAACAGCTTTCAAATGCATACAAAATATATCTGCAGTATGAATGAAATTATAGTACAAGGAGTAGAATTATGCACCATCTGAGGACAAAATGAGAGTGATAGTTTGCATTTTTAATAGCAGAAATGAGTTTTTATTTTCTTTGGTGTTTGATTTTCTGGCAACAGGGTACCCAAATCTTCATGGAGACAAGGCTTGCAGCCTTCTTTATTTCTTCTAGCTGGGAGTTAAAAAACAAAACAAAACAAAAAAACATTGCCAATGTGTGGATTTCAACTTATAGTCACCCTATAGGAGAGAGTAGAACTGCCCCATAGAATTTCCAAGGCTGTAAATCTTTACAGAGCAAAATGTCACATCTTTCTCCCATGGAGCAGGTGGTGGCTTCGAACCACCAACTTTTCTATTAGAAGATAAAACCATTATACATCACAGCTCATGCTAGCTAGAAATACTAAGTCTAAGAAATACTCTAAATCTACTAGTAAGGGAGGAGACCAGTTCATTCACTCTGTCAGATTTCAAATATTCATTAAACTTTGGTCTGTCTTCATTTTCTCTTCTTCATTAGTGGAGAAGAAAATAAATTGGCTCTGTTATTAGTGTTACTTCAGTTTTATATATCCCATAAGTATC